AAAATGGAGGATATTATGTTAACAATTAGAGGAGAATTTTGTCATTTTACCAAGTAAAATATTTTACATTTTGTTATCTGTTTTTATCATTGGTCAAAGGCCATTTAACCAAATACACTGTCTAGGGAGGTTAAATGGCCAAATTCCCCAAATAAATTTTCTTAGGCTTAGGCCTAGAGAAAATCTGACGGCAAATTGAGATATATAAGAAACCGTTTGTTGATTTTTTTTTATGTATCACATAGTTACTTTTGCTTATATTATTTTAAACGAGGGATTAACGCTCTTACATCTTGACGATGAGAATCTTGAGTGTACTAGTTAGTAATATTCATGAATAAATAATTATACATGTACATCAGGGTTTAAACCATAGTGGTCAATGATGATATGCCATTTGGGCATTATTTACACTATTAAAATTTGAGTATAACCCGAATTCCTTATTGAAATAATTGAAGTGCACGTCAAGAAAAATTTAGTTTGGAATGTTATTGGGGTCCTATGTCAAGTTGAAGTTTTATTTTGAAAGCTCATTGAGCGTTGTAAATTGGTACTGAACTTGAAGAAGAGTTCGGAATGAAGAAAACAACTTGAAGTGGAAAAAAAAAAAAGAGGGGCAGAATGCCCTGCACCACAGCCGGCGTCCCTGTTTGGTTATTTTGTCCTGGGCGCCACAGCACCTGGAGGTGGAGCTGTGGTGCCACCTGTCTGTTTAAGAATTTTCACGTTTTTATCTCATTTTTTTCATTTTGGACTCGATTTTTTGGAATTCTATTTCATCAACAACTCTATTAGAAGGGTTTGGACGACCCTTACATGTTCTCTATAAATATTAGACTCTTTTATCCAATTTTATGGTATGAGAATAGTGTGAGAAAAGTGATTACTAGCTTTTAGGATCAATTGTATATTTCTTGTTCATGAGTCAATAAATCCCCTAATTCATCTGGCATATTTTCTTAACTTCTTTTATTTTTATGCTTGTGATCAAATACTTCGTTATTGTGCCATATAACTTCAACATCTCAATCCGATTGTTGGTTTCATATCAAGTGGTATCGAGGAATACGTGATCCTTAAATTCCCAACAATTGGTATCAGATGTTCTAGACATAATTAACACAACAAGTGGTATCAGAGCCTAGGTTCAGCAATTTCGCAAAAGCGTAGAGTTTGATTTGTTTGAGATTTTTTGTTCGTGATGACTTACATGGAGTATGACATTCCGCTTTTGAATCAGAGTGCTAGATTTTGCTATGGTAGATTAAGATGCGTGTAGTACTCACATAGCAGGATTTTGGATGATGCATTGTTGGGAATTGACAAGATGCCAGCAACTTTGACTCTGAAGGAAAAATTACGGAAAGATAAGAAGACGGTTTCTCACATTCATCTTCATCTATCGAATACAATTCTTCGTGACGTTTTGAATGATGGTCAATCAACTGCTTTATGGTTGAAGTTAGAGCAAATGTGTATGACCAAAAGTCCGACAAGTAAGTTGCATCTCAAGCAGTGTTTATACTCTCATCGAATGGCAGAAGAAAGATCATTGGAAAATCACCTAACTGTATTTAAGGAGATAGTTGTTGATTTGGAAACTTTGAAAGTAAAGTATGATGAAAAATATTTGATCTTGATCCTATTTTGTTCGTTGCCCGCTTCGTTTTCTTCATTTATATCTGGAAACACAACCTTTAACATGTTTACGATAGTCTTTGAGATAATTTTATAAGAAACATTTCAGACTTATTGGCCAAAACCCGATGATGCTTCTTGTGCATTTGACCTTTGGAGTTAACGTCACAAAGGTATCATTCACATCTTTTAACGACCCATTGTTGTTCAAACCTCTCAGGCCAAAAGTTATCACAACCTCAATCGCCTCCAAATTACATTGAAAAAGGCGGTGTAGAATCCGTCCAGTCCTGGAGCCTTAAAAGGTTCTATACTAAAGATGGCTTCGCAGATTTTGTATCCTTTCCCATTTTCTCCCAAATAATTATAATTCGGTCACCATAATAAAGACCAATCTGAGGTAGTCTCACGAAGTAATCTTTGTAAGTGATTAATGCCTAAGGCCCGAGCATTCCAGCTTCAAATATTCATTGCGCCCGGTAGGCTCTGCCTGATCATGGTACATATTCGACAAGTTGTATTCATCAATCCATTACTTCAAATATGTTCTAAATATAATATANACCGTATTAGTGCAATAATGCTAGACACAATTTTCTATATGTTCGAACAAAGCAAGTTATTTGATCATATTAATTGTTAGTTTATGAAGTGTGCTATAGTATTTTATAAACAATTTGACAAATATTTTATTGAAATTAGGGTGTATTTAATTGCATTTATTTTTCATAGAAAATGTCAATTTTCCATCCAAATTCCTATTTTGAAGTGTTTCATTGCTATTTTTTTTTCATGAAAAATATTTTCTAACTATTGAGAATATGTCTAATTTTCCTTGTTTTTAAAGAAAACATTTTATTTGGGGGGAGTAGATTTTTGTTTTCCTCAATATTTTCTTTTCTATGTGATATTTTTCATGCCAGTTTGATTGTCATGAAAAATATCGCCTAGAAAAGAAAATATTTGATATTGTTCAATTTTCACTATGTTTATTGGAACCATGACCTCTAAACTCTGGGCACTAATTTGAGCCCGCAGGTTTATGTAAATGGTTACTGTGAATGCATCAATTTTCACTATGTTTATTGGAACCATGATTGTGTATTAGTCATGCTTAAATTTGGGGTTTAATGTAAGTTTTGTTCCCTTATATTTTGCACATTGATAACATTCCTAAGTTTTTATGGTCTGGACATCATCAATTGTCCATAAATGCTTTTCAAAATGCAATGAAGGCTGTTTCTGATAAAAATTGCTAGATTTTGTCATGTATTTAGAGATACTGTTCAACGTTGTAGCTGTAGAGATCAATCCATTTACGTCTAGTATACTAATGAGTGATTATTTAGTGATGAAAACATTGAAGATTTATGAGCCTTCCTTCACTAATAGGTTACAGATGATAGTTTAGTTACCAATAAGCTAACTTTTCTTGCTTATGATTCTATTGATGGTAACTTCGGGATTTTAAATATCATATTTCCTACACATGTTTGGCCCGCAATATCAGATCATAGTGAACAATATAAGATTTTAGCTTCTTCTTGCTAATATTATTGAACACCTTGCTGATTTCTTTCCATTGTCGAACATTGCATTAAATTTTGTTATATTCAGATGTGTTTTTCAATATTCCTTAAGTTTAGTCTCTGTTTGATTTTACTAAAAATCATTTTTTAAGTAGATTTTTAAAATTGATAAAAGTTGTGGATCCGTGAAATGTGTTGTTAAAAATAATTGTTGACTTTGACTTGTATTTTTGTCAACTTTTTCAAAGAGCGATAAATTGTAGTTTTGTAGTTTATTCACCAAACGAGGCACAAGGAATCAGTGGAAATACTAGCTTCATGTGGTCCCATTTTGTCTCATTATAATCTATTAAAACTGCATTGCATTCTTGTTAATATTTCCATCATTTAATTCGTTATTTTTACTTGCTCATCACTCTAAGATTGTCTATATATTTGTATCATATTTATTGTAAAAAAATTTCAATATAATTTAAGCTTTTGCTCTCAGTTCTATGTGCTTTCTTACTTGTTCAACTTTGAGAATTTCACTAATTCTAACTTGGTATCAAAGTCTAAAATGGCCAACACTGGATCAAACGATAATGCCCAGTCAGCTACCAGCACACTGATGCCTTCAACGTTGGGAAGAAATCAGATGCAATCGTTTGGGATAAATCTGACTCAGGTTCCTCCGATAAAGCTGGATATGAACAATTTTTTGTTGTGGAAAAACATGGTTATATCCATCATCAAGGGTCATAATCTTGAAGGATTCATCACAGAAATGAGAACCTGCCCTGCTGAGTTTCTGGCAATACAAACCACAGGTTCAGCTGGCGTTACATTTGAGATGACACCAAATGTAGAATATGGGAAATGGATGTCCACAGACCAACTATTGATGGGTTGACTCTATTCTTCAATGACCCCTGGATTGCCATGAGAGTAATGGGTTCCTTGACCTCCTCAAGCCTCTGGAATGCTGTCCAAGAAAGCTTTGGAGTTATAAACAAATCGAGAGTCACTTTTCTTATTAATGAACTTCAAAGGACAAGGAAAGGTTCTATGAGCATTGATCAGTATCTTAACACCATCAAATAGCTGGCAGATAACCTTGAAATTGCAGGTAAGAACATCTTTCACAATGATCTTGTAACACAAGTTCTAGATGGGCTTGATGAAGAGTATACTCCTATAGTGGTTCGGATCAACAGCAGGGAATCAATCTCCTGGCATGAACTGCAATCTGTATTGATGACCTATGAGAGTCTAATTGAGCATCTCAATGCTGTGAAAAATAGCTTAGCATCTGTTTACCTTAGTCAAGCCTCTGCTAATTTTGTGCTTAGATCTAGCTTTAACATAGGAAGTAGGTCGAATTTTGGTGGAAAAAGCTTTAACTATAAAGGTGGAAGAGGTAGAGCCAGAGGTATCACGCAAACTGGTAACAAAGGTCCTTGCCAAGTTTGTTGAATGAGTAATCACTCAGCTGAGAGGTTTCATAATCAATATGACGAACGTTACATGGGCACAAAACCTGATTAGCACTATCAGAACAATGGTTCAGTACCAGCTGCTTATGTAGCCACTCCTAGCACCCTTTCAGATCCTGCTTAGTTAGCTGATTTAGGAGCTAGTAATCATGTAACTACAGAAACAAGAAATTTATCTGAGGCACACAAGTATGTTGGTAAGGAAAGACTGATATTTGGCAATGGTAACAAACTTCCTATCTCTCATATTAGCACTAATAAACTGAGCACGCTAAAGAATAAATCCTTAGTCCTTAATAACGTATTTCTAGTACTTGCAATCAAGAAAAACTTGATAAGTGTGTCTCAATTAATCTATAATAATGATGTGTTTATGGAATTTCATCATGATTTCTGTGTTGTTAAGGATCAACAAATGAAGGAAGTGCTGCTGGAGGGGAAGCTTAAAGACCGGTTGTATCAGTTCGTGCATCCAGTTCCATCAAAAGAATTCTCATATCGAAAACCAATCTATCCAAATAAGTAGAGTCCCATAGTTTTTGCTGTCAAACCAGAAGTGTCAAAAACCTCTGTCAAGGATGAGTCTAGATTGAAACAATGGCACATGAGACTTGGACATCCCTCAACACCTGTAATTAGGGGTGGGTGTGGGTTGGGTCGATTTTTTTCCCAACCCAAACCCAACCCAACCCACGAAAAAATCCCAACCCAACCCAACCAAATGTGGGTTGGGTTGGGTCGGGTTGGAACGGCCTTTCAACAAATATTAAAGTCTCAAAATACTATTTTTTTTACCAAAATACTGAATATAAAGCAACATTAATAGCCTTTCAATATCAATAAATTTAATATTTGATAACAAATAACATATTTGACAACATTTACATAATGTAAACATCACTAAAGAAGTTCTTGAATATATCTGGAAACGTGTGAAGCAATAAAGAAGTTCATCAGCACCTAAGGAGTAACCTGGATAAGTTTATGCAACTTGGATAAGTTTAAGCACTAAAAAATGAACATTCAAACAGATAAGTTTATGCAACCTGGATAAATGAAACACAAATAAGGAGCAAACAGTTCAACAAATTCAATAAAATCAAAAGAAGCAACTTCAATAAGATGAACTAGAATTTAGCTTATATTTAGTTCTCTGTCACCCAAAGTAACTATTGACAATTGTCCTCGCAACTTACAACAACAATCCAAGTTTGGAGAAGCTTTCAACCAATTTTGAGTGCATACTAAGATCTCGACCATCCTAGGACTTAAGGAACTACGAAAAGGATCAAGTATCCTTCCTCCAGTATTAAATGCACTTTCTGAAGCAACAGTTGACACTTGAATTGCCAACACATCTTTGGCCAAATTGGAAAAGACACCATATTTATTTTTGTTAATCTTCCACCGATCTACAATTTCAAAATCTTTTTTCTCTATGCTTTCACGAGCATCCAATAAGTATCGTTCTACGTCATTTTTTATCTTAACAGAATCTTTCAGTGCTTGTTTTTCCATAAATCTACTAAGGCGAGCATCCCTCGTAGAAGAAGAACATCCTTTAGATGTATTTGTAGAACTTCTAGTCTCTCTGGTTGACACTTTACTACTTCCATCAATATTTTCATGACGCACATACCGTCATAAATATCCATCAAATTGGCTTTCAAAGACTTCATCATGTTACTAATGACTTCCCCATCCATATATAGATCATTCAAACAATATTCAACATAATACATTTTGTATCTTGGATCCAGAATAGTAGCAAAAAGCAACAACTGATTCACATTTTCCATTTTACCCCAATACTTATCAAACTTCTTCTTCATGCTAGTCGCCATTTCACCCAACAAAAAGTTTTCACTTAATTCTTATTCATCCAATTCGATTACAAGATTACAAATTTTATGAAGATAAGCACAAGTACTAACATGCAATGAAGCACTAAAAGTTAAAGTCACATTATAGAAATTTTGAAGAAATTTAACAAACACAGATGCACTTTCCCAACCTAAACTTGACGAAGGTCCACCCCTCCTTCTACAACCATCATCTTGGCGAAAGTAATGCAAATACTGAGCATCCTTCTCTTCTAACCTATCGAAAGTTTTTTCAAATTTCAATACCGTTTCCAACATCAAATAGGTAGAGTTCCACCTAGTTGGAACATCCAAAAACACAATGGACTTGCAATCAATCTTCTCTTTCCTAGCACACTCCTTCAATTTTTCATACCTAGTTGGAGAAGATTTCATATATTTGATTGCATTGCGAATAGTCACAATGGAGTCATGTGCTTCCCTCAACCCTTCACCAACGATCAAATTGATAATGTGTGCACAACATCTCAAGTGCAAATACCTCCCTCTAGAACACATCCATCACTACCCCCAAACAACTACCTTTAGCCTAAGATAAGACATGGTTGTGTCATTGGAGCTTGCATTATCAACAGTGACTACAAAAATTTTCTCAATCCCCCAATCATGAAAACAAGTCTCAATCATTTTTCCAATAGTTTCTCCCTTATAATTTGGAACGACACAAAAATTCAAAATACGCTTATTAAGCGTCCATTCAGAATCAATGTAGTGTGCTGTAAGAGACATGTAATTAACATTCTGAATAGAAGTTCAAGTACCAGTTGTAAGAGAAACCCTTTGGCGGTGAAATTGAAAGGCATCTCTCAATTTCAGTTTTTCATCTAAATACAACTAATAAATGTCTCTAACGAGAGTCCTACGAGATGGAGGATGAAAGTGAGGACATGCTACACTACAAAAATGCCTAAAACCACGAGCTTCGACAAACCTAAAAGGTAATTCATCCACAACTATCATTTTAGCACATGCAACTCTACACTCTTCTTTCGTTCGACCAACAACAATAAGATTGCTCCCTCCACCCTCATTGTTATCAAAAGATAAGGTTTTTTGCTTCTTATCCACCAATCTACTTGGATACTTCTTACATTTATTTGTCAAATGATTACTCAATGTACTAGTACCATACTTCTTAGTGCCACAAGCATGATTAACTCCACAGTAATTACACTTACACCTAACATCTGGATCATCCTTTGAGCCTAGTAGAGTGAAGTGATCCCAAACATAAGAAGCAAGTCTATGAGATTTTCGTTTACCCAATGTTGACGGTGCACGCGAAGGTAGACCAGATTGCAAATCTGTAGCATTTGAGTCTGATTAAGCTGGTGTCCCAGTGCCACTTTCTTCCCCTACATCCATATCTACCAACAAAGCAGAATTATTAGAAGACTTCAACACATTATTTTGCAGAATTATTATGCTCCAACCTCTTTACCACTTAGAGAATCGTGAAATATAAATAAACGGGAAATGAAAGTGCTATAAGTTAATTGTGTTTATAGTTTATACAACAAGAGATAAGAGAGAGATTATAAATTTATAGTATGGAATTGAAATAAATTACAAGATATAAGAATAAATTAGACAATGGGATATTGAAGGCTATAAAAGAATTCGTATAAAAGGAGAAAAAAGCACAAGTATAGGAAAATCCATGTATAACCTGAATAAGGAGACATATGATGCTGAAAAATGTTGAAGGTCAAAACATAATATAGTAGATTCTGTTGCTTATGCTATGTGCCAGATTTAATGTTATATTTTGCTAGAGCAATAAGTAAAAGCTTGGTGTGTCATTTCCAATCTATTTCACATACACATTTTTAGAATGAGATTATTATTTTGGCATTGGCTCACACGAGGCAACATTATTTAGCATAGCACTATTGAATCCTAGTGGAGAGTGATAGATCACATGGATGGTGGGTGATTGCAATTTTTACTTGATTGTGATTATGCAGTTGGAGATGATGAAAGCTGTAAGCTTTATGTATGTAAAACCTCCTGGTTACAATGTGGACTGTGGAGAGTGCAAAAGCTGCAAAAATGGCGAATGAGGGAAAAAAGCAGGACCAAAACCGAATCCAATATCAATAAAAATGAAGAAAATAGCAAACCATAAATTGCCCTATTACGATTATAGATCTTTCAATTATTGCTAAAATAAGTCTTTCTAAACAAGCTCCAATTACCAATTTTTTTCAGAAACCAATAATTTACTATCGAAAAACTACACATTTCTCGTCCTAAAGTATAATCAAATTTATCACAATCACAATCAACCTAGTATTTGATAGTAATGAGGATTGCTTACCTTGGATTGGAAGCGGATAGATGGTGGGGTAGTTGGGTCGCCTGGATTGGGAGCGATTTGAGAGAGAGACGGNGTCGGATTGGGTCGGTTTATATCGAGTTTGGGTCGGGTCGGTCAGTTTGGTTCGGATTTTGCCCACTCCTACCTGTAATGTCTCAAGTACTCAAGTTCTGTAATGAAAAAATCAATTTTAATGAAATCATTTAGTTATGTGATGCCCGTCAACTTGGGAAATCTCACTCTTTGCCTTTCAAATTGTCTGACTCACACTCCTCTTCTCCTCTGGAATTAATTCATATAGATGTATGGGTTCATTCACCCATCAATTCAACATCAGGCTTTAATTATTGTATTCTATTCATCGATGATTTTAGTAGATTCACATGGATCTACCCAATGAAAAATAAATCTGAAGCTCTAAACCATTTCATTCAATTCAAAAACTTAGTTGAAAACAAGTTTGAAAGGAAAATTAAAACAATCTAATCAGACTGGGAAGGTGAATTTAGAGCATTCACTTACTTCACTCAACGGTCTGGCATAGCTATACATCTTTTGTGTCCCCATTCTTCAGCCCAAAATGGAAAAGTAGAGAGAAAAGACAGACGCATTACTGAAATTGGCCTCACTCTTCTTGCTCAACCAAGTATACCCTAGTACTATAGGTGGGAAGCCTTTCACACCTCTACTTACCTCATCAATAGACTTCCAAGTCTTACTCTTAAGATGAAATCCCCTTGCCAAATTCTCAACAATGAACAAATCGATTACAAGTCTCTTAAAATCTTTGGCTGTGCCTGCTTTCCCTACCTCAAACCGTATCAGGATCACAAGTTCAATTTCCACTCTATAAAGTATGTCTTCCTTGGTTTTTCTAACTTTCACAAAGGTTATAAATGCGTTAGCCCTACAGGTAAAATCTACATATCGATGTAGTTTTCAATGAGAAAGAATTTCCCTTTCAAACGGGTTTTCTCAACAAAAAGATTGATCAACAGTAGTCTGAGACCATCATTCAATATTTACCTCTTCATTCTCATCAAACATGTACTCCAAATTGCCCAACTGATACAGCTCATGTTGATGCTACTCTGACTGTAACACCTTCCAATAATGATCAACTACTATCAACAGAAAATCTGATGACTGATGTGAATGAGAATGGTAACACAGAGACTAGCAATGAGAGTGAATGCCCAAAACAGAATGAAATCATTCAGGAAGAGCATACTGAAGAAAGAAAT